CTTAGGGGTGACAGAAATCAGAACAAGGAGCGATGGTCTCAAGTTGCCATGGGGGAGGTCTAGGTTGGCTATTAGGAAAAACGATTTCCCTAGCAGGGTGGGGAAGCACTGGGATGGGTTCCCTAAGAAGGGGGTGGAATCTCCATCCCTGGAGGTTTTTAAGTCCCGGCTTGACCAAGCCCTGGCTGGGTTGATTGAGTTGGGTCGGTCCTGCTTTGGGCAGGGGGCTGGACGCGATGACTCCTGAGGTCTTTGCCTGCCCTGGGGTTCTATGAAAAACCACTAGAATGATGGCAGCACAAGGGAGGCATAAGGCAGCCTCTCCTTACAGTTTGCAATGGGGAAGCGGGTTAATTCTGCTTCTGTGAAGGGGCCCTGAGGGCGGCAGAGCCGGAGGTGTATTTCCCCCCCTCTCAGACGCCTGCAGGGCCCTGGAAGTTCTTCATTTGCCTTCTTCAAATCGGAAGCTTGAGTGCGCTTTAGAAAAAATAAAGCAGCCTGGCCGTCATAAGCAACGCTAACAAGTCCGTGTCCTCAATGCAGGGTTCACAAGCAACCCCTACGATCAACAGCCACCGTGCGCCGTGTGTGTTTGTGCGTGTGTGCGCACACGCGTGTGCTAGAGGAAAAATCTGCAGCATTTGTTGGAGCAAAACAGAAAGAGAAAGAAATGCAGAGGTCTTTTGTACAGATATAAAAGCAGGAGTGGGCAAGTATGGCCCTCAGGCTGGAGTCGGTCTGCTGGGATTAGCTCCTGGCGGCCCCATGCTGTTATATTTACATGCATGGCCACTTCCAACCGCTCCCATTGGCCGGGAGCAGTGATCTGCAGCCAATGGGAACTGTAAGAAGCGGTGTCTCGCTCCGCGCCGCTTCCTGCCGCTCCCATTGGCCGGCAGCAGTGATCTGCAGCCAATGGGAACTGTAAGAAGCGGTGTCTCGCTCCGCGCCGCTTCCTGCCGCTCCCATTGGCCGGCAGCAGTGATCTGCAGCCAATGGGAACTGTAAGAAGTGGTGTCTCGCTCCGCGCCGCTTCCTGCCGCTCCCATTTGCCCGAAGCAGTGATCTGCAGCCAATGGGAGCTGCGATCGCCGGTCCCTGTGGCCGTGCAGGGGAATATAGTCCCTCATCAGGGACTAGCTCTGGCGGTCTGCCACCATGTTATTGCCCACCCCTGTATAAAAGCGACTGTAAACTGGGGTGGCACAGTGGGTTTGTCTGGGATTCTCCCCACTGGGTTCCCACGAAATGGGTGAGAGTTGGAGGTTGCTAGGCTCTCTCATGGGAGCCCCTGAAATTAAGGCAAGTTACAGTGTTGCCCGTTATCGTGGGTTTTATCACGAGGGCCAGGGCTTTTTCAAGACCCAGTTCTTGGAGTCATGTGATTACGTGACTCCCCCAGCTTTCACCTAACACATTTCCCACTGGCCCCCTGGGCCCTCGTGTCCTTACACCCCGCCCCAAACGCAGCTGGGGGTGAAACTTTCCCAGGCTGGAACCTCGAGGAAAACATCCCACCCGGTGCAGACAGAGCCCAGGGCTCCCTCGCTCACCTGATGAAGTAGCAGCAGAAGATGAGGCTAAGGACAAAGACAAAGATGCCGGTGCCGAAAATGACCATGTAGATATTCAGCGGGAGGTCCTGGAAGGTGATGGGAGGCATCGTACACGATTTATTGGTATAAATCAGCCCCAAACCACAGAAGCATCCTTCGGGGAGAGAGAGAGGAGAGAAGTCGCTTTTAGGATGAAAAAAAAAGAGGAAAAAAAACCTGGAAGATCAAATTTTACCTTCTTAGAGAAATACAATGCTGCCCCCACAAATTCTGTGCATGGGCCACAGACAGCACAATTGTATCTCGCTGCGGCTTTGGCTATGTTCCTCTCTCGTTCCCTCCCCCCGCGAGACAGCCTGGCTCTTGCACTCAAGATGTAGAGATTAATGCTTCTCGCCCTAGAAATCCCCTTTCAGGTCCTGGGGGTTTGGCCCTCGCACGATAGTTTTGGGTTTTATCTTCCGCCTGACGCGCCAGCTAATCTGGACTCCAGCCACAGAACGGAGACCCCCGTGGATTCTTCGTAGGCACTTCGCAGTGGGGCCCAACCCCAGAAGAGGCTGGGGACAAAGCCTTGGCACATGGGACTGGAAGCCAGGACCCTGGGCATAGGGCTGGCAGCAGACACCCCTGATGGATGGGGTTCAAACCAGGACCCTGGCAGAGCTCCTGCTGTGTGGGGTGCCAGCAGATCCCCTGGTGCATGGGGCTGGCAGCAGAGGCCCCCAGCACATGGGGGTTGAACTGAGGCTTCAGCACGCAGGGCAGCAGCCACGACTGGGCATGTGAAGCTGGCAGCTGGGATCTCAGACCCTAAGCTGGCAGCCCGGTCTGCTGCAGCACCCACCCCCTGCACCTATGGCACATCATGCACCATAACATTGTCATAGGCAGAGACAGCTCAGTGGTTTGAGTATTGAGCTGCTAAACTGAGGGTTGTGAGTTCAATCCTTGAAGGAGTTATTTAGGGATCTAGAGGAAATCTATCAGGGATGGTACTTGGTCTGGCCCTGAGGGCAAGGGACTGGACTTGATGACCTTTCAAGGTCCCTTCCAACTCCATATATTATTATAATGGGTTGCTATGCAGAGGAAAGGGACTGTGTGTGTCCACTGCTATCAGCTATCCCCGACTAAGACCAGGAAGGCTCAGCAAAGCCACCTGGAGTTGAACTGGAGCTGCTAATCTGAGTTAAAAGTCACACTGTCCTGTCTCCACTGCTACTTTAACCCGAGTTAAGAACACTATGCACAGGTTTGGAAGGACTAGATTTTTTTTTAAATGAGTAAACATCGCACACCTGCAAACGCAACATTATTTTCAATCAAGGATAATCAAAATGTAGAGAGGCAAAGAAAGAAAATACTGTGAGAAATGTTTACAGTTAAAATCCCATGATGTAAACTTTTGAATGAGGCTGGTTATTAAGGGTCTAATATATTAATGGTTTAGTGAAAATGGGTAGAAGTTGAATTAAGAGATCTATTTTGACATGCAAGGTTGGCAATTTGTGTTTTACCCATTTATATAAAGCTTTAATTTTTTGAATGTCAACTCTACAACCATTAAATAATTGTCAAATCCCTCCCAGCATTTCTCGCAATTATGAAAATTTAAAATTGGATTTAAAAAAGGTTAAAATCAGGCACTGATTATTAGCTGTCAAAATTAAATACAATTGCAAACCAAATTCTGCCAAGCCTAAGTGTAGACATATGTAAGAATGGCCTCTGTTCACACAGCATCTCTCTGCTCCCTGTTAGGCCAGGTCTAAACTTAACCAGACATACATGCTCTGGAGATTGATCTTCCTGGGGTTGATTTAGCATGTCTAGTAAGGACCCACTAAATCAATTGCTGATGATGCTCCCATCAACCCCAGTACTCCATGGGGTCATGAGGAGAAGGGAAGTTGATAGGAGAGTGTCTCCTGTTGATTTCCCGCAGTGGGGACATGGCAAAAATTCGACTAAAGATACATTGACTCCGCTATGCTAGTCTCATAGATGGAGTCACGTATCTTAGGTCAACTTTCTTGCGTAGTGTACACCTAGCCTTAGTCTGAGTCTGCGCTGATGACTTCATGGCCTCAAACGCATGTTTCCACTCCCATTAACCCTTTGGAGCCGACAGCTGCAGGACAGCAAACTGGAGTCTTGTTCTGCCCCATGCAACCACTAGAGAGTATCGAGTCCAGCTGCAGAAACTTTACTGCAGGAGCAGGAAGAGCCCAGGTTGATTTTTTTTATAGACCTCAAAAGTAGGGTTGCCAGGTGTCTGGTATTGAACCGGACAGTTCGATATTTTCGCCTCCTGTCTGGTAAAAAAATTCAAAAAATACCGGACACCTAAAATGTGCGGTATTTTCTGATTTTTTCCCAGCCAGGAGGCAAAAATCCTGAATGCTTACCGGGATCCGCAGGAGAGCTGTTTGGCCCGGCACAGGGAGGCAAGATGGCGGGCAGCTGCCAGCAGCCTGTTCGGGCCAAAAAGGCCTCAAAAGCATTTCTTAAAGGGGCCACGCTTTTTTTTTTTTATTATTTACTTGAGCAAAAAAATAACAACTTTGGTCTTCCCCTTTTTTTTCCTCAACAGAATTTTTTCCCTGGTGTTTTTTTTGGGGTGGGAGCTGGGAGGCCAGGGTTTGTTATTTTTCGTTAAACCTTCTGGCAACCCTACTCAAAAGGCGTTAGCACAACGGGAAGAAAATAAAACCAAACTGTCACCTTGGGGCTTGCAGAGCGAATAGCCCTGGAGCGGTCAGAGAGAGAAGAAATAGCTTTGCTGGGCCCCCTTTTACAACATTGCCTCACCTGCAGAGCAAAGCTTTTATCTCCCCAAGATCTTCCCTTGGGGGACTTCAGCCTTGTTAGGGCTCCTGGGGAGTGCCTGTGCTGAAGGTCACCTTTGTTCTACCTCCCCTGGATGCCACGTTGTTCTTCCCACATTCCCACTGACCCCCCAGGACAGTGAAGTCAGGCCTGCGAGTGGATCTCTGGATTTATCCGCACTGGGGATTTGCCTTGAGTTCAGCAGCTGGGGAAGCCTCCAGCTTCGACAGGGTACACTGCTAAAAGCCCGTTGGCACCGATGCAGCTCACCCTCGTTCCAAGCAGAGGTGGCAAATATTTTGATGCGTTGTTATCTTAGTGCAGCAAACTCTAGCAGCCTCAGTCACGGACCACCGTGCTAGGTGCTGTACGAACAGACTCAAAGAAGAAATGGACTGTGTCCCATACAGCTTGCAAACTTAACAGCTGCTTTGTTTGTATATACAAGGGGTTTTCTCTGGGCAGCTACAAGGGGTTTTCCCTGGTGCAGCTACAAAGAGGTCGAGGACAGCAAACCTCTTGCATTGGAAGTGCCTTTGTTTTGCATCAACAATGCAGACATTTGGGGCAGCGGGTAAAGTAGGCAGGGGAATGCTCTGCATTCCCAAACCTCCAGGCATATCCCTGTCCCACACTGCCCTACCTCTCTGCGGTGCTGGGCAGAAGGGGCCGGGTTAGAGGTGTGGCTATGTCTACACTCGCGGCTTCTTGCGCCAGAAATATGCAAATGAGGCTAAGCGTGGAATATCGCCACGCCTCATTTGCATACCTAATGAGCCGCCATTTTTGCAGAAGAGGCTCTGGCGCCAGAAGGAGCTGTCTACACTGCAAGAAAACTCCTCTCGCGCAACGCCGTTATTCCTGAAAATAATCAGCGTAGCGGCATTGCGCAAGGGGTTTTTCCTTGCACAAGGGGCAGGGTAGACAGCTCCTTCTGGCACAAGGGCCTCTTCTGCAAAAATGGCGGCTCATTAGGTATGCAAATGAGGCGTGGCGATATTCCACACTTAGCCTCATTTGCATATTTCTGGCGCAAGAAGCCGCAAGTGTAGACATAGCCAGTGAGTGCTTCTTTATGGCAGGTGCGGTCTGTCAAAAGAGGAGCACAGGGGAGGCGACCGCTGTCCACTTGCTTCTGCTCTGTGCTGTTCTTAACCCCAGCGGAAACGGATTTTTATAAAAACGATTCTGCTCCGTCAGCATCCTGGACCCCCGGCAGAAGCCCGAGCATTTGCAAGAAAGTCTATCTGATGTCTGTCTCTCTCCACAGCCATACAGAAAGCTCCCTTCCCCGTCCAACACAAGGGCAGATCAGAAAACAAAGGCTTGAAAACCAGGAACAGTTGGCATGTGTCATTCCAGCCTGGTGCTAGCACACACGAGCCAGGAGCTGAAATTGACTAGATCCTCCCTAGCCGGGGAGGATGGATGAATTCCTGCCTCCATGCCTGGAGCGGGGGCACCTTCAATGCGCCTGCTCCAAACGACCTGAAGTCAATGGGACTTTTTTCCAACTGACTTCAGTGCACTTTGGGTTCAGCCCCCGGTGCCCACGTTCCCCACTGCATTCCTCCTGCGGCTCGTCTTGGTGCTAGTGGCTAGGATGGGATTTGACTTCCGCATCCCAACTCATTCAGCGGCTTGTTCCCTTAGGGTTTGGAATCGCACAGGCCCCACCAGGGAGGCAGCCAACCTGGGACCACGGCCAACGGCCACATCACGTCCGAAGGGGAGCACAACCAGCTCTGGCAGGGGGGCCACGGGGCAGCCGGGGACGGTGAAACCAGCAGCCTCGAGGACTGGGGAGAGCGCTGCGGTTGAAACAAAGAGAAGAAAGCAGAAGGGGAAAGCCCGACGCCCACGCTGACAAACTCCCCTGGACCCTGCGGGGAAGCAGGATTCGGCATCGGTCAAAATGACGCCGACGTCACGAAAAGGGGGGGGGCTTGGATTTCACTTCAGAGCCCGCGCCAGTGGCGATTTCCAAGGGCAGCCGCCTCCGGGCTGAGGCCCCATCTGTGTTCTCAAGTGCCTCTTCCTCTCCCCTTTCCGCTCCAGCGCCCTGCCTCCCTGCTCTGCCGCCTCTCAATCAACCCCTCCTTAAGGCTTTCATGACAGGCAATTAAATCCCCCTTCTCTCCCCCAGCCTGTGGAAGAGGGTGATCACTTCCCCCCTGCTCCCACCCAGTAGGGGCGGAGTTGTGGACAGTGGCTTATGAGCACAGAGCTCCCAGCTTTGCAGGCTCCTGGAACAGAGCCACAGCCCCTCCCTGCTCTGCCGCCTCTCAATCAACCCCTCCTTAAGGCTTTCATGACAGGCAAT